GTAGTCTTTCTGCTCTATTCACTACTGAGTGGAATGCTTTGAAGAGTGTGGATGAGTTATCGGATGCTTTTATGGCTTGCATGGTTGTTACACCTTCCATCATTCGCAAGATTTTACAAGCACAACTCACCGATCAGCAGTGTGTCAACAAGGTCGCAGAGATAGCTTCCGGGGAGGTTCCATTCTACTATGTTGGGGCTAATGGAGGTTTAAGGTACAAGGGACGGTTAGTGGTACCTTCTGCTGATGGTTTGAGGAAGGATGTGATGACTGAGACTCACCACTCTGAGTTTTCTGTTCATCCAGGAGGCGATAAGATGTATCAAGATATGAAGCGGCAGTTTTGATGGGCAGGTATGAAGAGGGACATTGCTCTTTTTGTTTCTCAGTGTAGTATTTGTCAGATGGTTAAGATTGATCATCAGAGACCACCAGGAGCTCTACAGTCACTACCAATTACGGAGTGGAAATGGGAGAGCATATCTATGGATTTTATGGAAGGGTTACCAAATTTTTTCAAGGGGCATAATTTTATATGGGTCATTGTGGATAGGTTGACCAAGTCAGCTCATTTCTTGCCTATTTGCACTGACTACACTTCGGAGCAGTTGGCGAGGCTTTACATTTCAGAGATTGTGAAGTTACATGGCATTCTATTGTCTATTATATCGGACAGGGATTCGAGCTTTGTATCTGGATTTTGGAAGAGTTTTCAGCAGGCTTTAGGTACGGAGTTACACCTTAGTACTGCTTATCATCCTCAGACTAACGGACAGACTGAGAGGGTGAATCAGATTATGGAAGATATGCTTCGGTTATGTGTTCTGGATTTCAAGGGCCACTGGGAGGAATATTTGCCACTTGTGGAGTTTGCTTATAACAATAGTTTCCAGAAGACTATTGGGATGGCACCTTTTGAGGCGTTATACGGTCGACCGTGTCGATCACATGTTTATTGGATGGAGGTTGGAGAGAATCGATTCTTAGGTCTTGAGTTCATCAAGGATACCTCTGAAAAGATTTCTCTTATTCGAGATCGCATGCATACTGCCCAAAGTAGGTAGAAGAGCTATGCTGATCGTTGCACTCGTGCTTTGGAGTTTCGGGTTGGGGATCAGGTTTTACTCAAAGTGTCTCCTATGAAGGGTGTTATGCGCTTTGGGAAGAAAGGGAAGTTGTCTCCGCGGTTTGTCGGTCTATTCATGATTACGGATCGAGTGGGAGCTGTGGCTTATCGGTTAGCACTTCCGGATAACTTGGATCGCGTTCACAACGTGTTTCATGTTTCCATGTTGCGAAAATTTCTGCGCGATGAGGATCGGTATCAGCATATCGATGTTGGGGAGATTGAGTTGCAGCCGGATGCAACTTATTTGGAGCCACCATGTCGTATTGTTGACCGTCGGGATCAAATCCTTCGCAATAAGGTTATCCCTTTGGTTCGTGTGCAGTGGAGTCATCACAATGAGGCTGAGTCCACTTGGGAACGGGAGGATGTCATTCGCTCGCAGTTTCCTGAAATATTGGAAGAAAGTAAGAGCGAATTCCGAGGACGAAATTCCTTTTGTTAGGGGGGAAGAATGTAATACCCCTAATTTTAAAAGGATAGTCCTGGCATTTATTTAATTGTTTAATCTTTTATTTAAATTATTTTAATTGTGTGTTTCTTCTATGGTTATTTAAATTTGTTTTTTTTGTTTTAATTAATTGATTAAATTGTTTGGTTTTCTTTTATTACATTGTTTTAAATTAAATTGTTTTATGATGTTTTGTTTGACTTAATTGATAATGGGGTTTATTTAATTAAATTGGTTTAAAGTAGGATTGTGTTTTTTGTATATTCACGTATTAGCCGACATAGGTTTTAATTAACTTCTATGGGCCGGTTAGGATTTAGTTAGGGCTTTAATTAATTTAGAGTTTTGGTATAACTCTATAAATATATGGGTATACGTCTGCCAAGAGTTTCTGAAAACCCTATTCATCATATTCAGGTATACAGTGATACAGAGAGTTGTGAGGGCAGAGTAACAGAGAGGGAGTTTGCGTACGTTACAGAGAGAAAGATTTAAGGGAAACACAGAGTGAACTTGGGTGATTAGCAAAGCAACTCAAGGAGGAAGGAGCGTGGTAGTGGGGAACAATAGTGTAGGACACAAACATATCACACAGAGACGGTGAATTAGAATTTCAAATCTGAAATTCAAAGGCAAGTCTCTGTTCCACTCTATCCCTTTAATCTGTGTTCTGTGCATACTTAGTTAAGACTCCAGGGATTTAAACAAGGATAAAATGGACTTAAATAAACTTTATAACAAGTTTTATATGCATGTATGAATTTCATTTACTCTCGTGAATTAACTGCTTTGCAAGAATTGTTGATTTTCTGCTACTTGATTTTGCTGCGGATTGTTTTTGAATCTTGTGTTAAATTCTTGTTGTGAATATACATTTATGCTTGAGAATTAGTCTAAGACATTAAATGAACCCTTGTATAAGTAGGTAACACAGTATTGAATGTCACCAAATTAATCTGTTGTGAGTTGCTTAAAATTTCAGACTAAGGTTCTGTGATCGTTGCTCCTAAACCTATGTTCCATGCATGCTATCATTGAATATCAGTGGTTCAAATATGTACCTAGGACTGAGATTGAACCTAGAATAAAAATTAAAACATGTTACAGAGGCTCTGATAATCACCGGAATCAGAGAAAACGAAGCTAGAACGGACAACGGCTGCTAAGGGAGGGAGAGCAGGCTCCCAAAACCCTTAGAGCCGGCTCCCAAAGAGTTGGAGCCGGCTCTAAGTGATTTAGAGCAGGCTCTAAAAGTTTTAGAGTAGGCTCCAAATGGTTTTGAGCAGGCTCAAAGTTTTTAAAGAGCCTGCTCCATCTTAAATCGCACAGAACTGAGTTTTAAGGACTTTTTGGCTGAAATTGGATTTTCTAAAATTATTTAAAGGCTACTGGATGTTGTAATTTAATGTTTAAGACTTGTAAAAATGTTGGGAAGTATGATTACAAATAGGAACTAAGAACGGAATTAAGCTAAGATTAAACAGTGAACCCGTGGGTGGATGATTTGAAAATTAATTTCTATTGTCTACTATTTTTGGAATTTTATTTCTCTGCATGACTTGGATTTATAAATCATGTTTTGCAGCTGTGTTATAAGTATACTGTTGTATAGTTATATGTATGCTTAGTTTGGATCAACTGGTGTTAAAATCTATTTTACATTGCATCGGTTATGGTACTGTTTGGAGAGGTAGATTGTGTAATTCTACTCTATCAATTTAACGGACTGTAATTGGGATTCTAAATCTTATATTGAATGCATAAGTTGGTTATATACATGTTAAACTATATTTATGCTAATTCTGGAGTATGGTTGATAAATACTTATTTTTGTTTTTGTCAACTTCGTTAATTGGAGGATTGTATGTACCGGTATGGGACGGTGACATACTAGGTATGGATTAGTCAAACACTAAATCCTACCTACTTTGGATTAAGGTATGGATTAACCCTATGAGTTAAGTCCATCACCTACTTGTGTCATGTCAACAAAATAGTTGAATGACTTAATATGGTTTCAGGACGGATGGATATACATATACCAGACCACCACACAGATGGATGGTATTATGTATTAGGAGGAGTATGGACTTTATATATTTATTATATGTGCCATGGTATGAGCTTGAGTCTCAGGACCATAGTTAGGGCGCGTATATCGCCTAGGATGGATAACAGGACATAGGTGTTGTTCCCTGGTAGGTCTAGGTACTCATGCCCACCCTAGGGTGCGTATTCGCATGTTGCCTTCTATTCAGGCTGAGACAAACCTACTGGACTAGCGAGCGTCCTATAGTGTGTACTATATACATATATTGACTACTCTAGATATTGTTGAGTCTTCCTAGGATGTATCTGCGTATCGGATTACTGTTTGGATCGTAGTAGATCAGGACTTGCATGTGGGCCTGACCCATTTCTTTATTTTTCAGGTGCTTGTCAGTTCCAGGGTTAGAGTTTGGACGTGCAGAGTAGATACAGCTATTCACTCCTCCGATTATGTTGGAATTTTCTCTATGTTAGCTTTGGATTTTGTTTTTATTATTTCAGTATCGTTTGGAGAATTTAAATAAGGGGTCCAATGGATGGATTCCCGAGTTGTAAACTGATGGAGTTTTGGAGTTTGGGTTTGATGGATTTTAATAATTATAATATTTTGCGAATTCTGTTTTTAGTTCTTTTCAGCTTTAATTTCATTTCTTAATTCATTTTGTATTCCGTGTTCATTATAAATACTTTAATTGTTTGATATTTCCTCGGGCTCGGGCCTGAGCCTGATCAACCTGTGTCTCGGATCCGAGGGTTATCAAAAAACCCATACGACCAACCAACCATGTCAAACAAAAAATAAATAACACCTATAAGATATCCCACCTTCAACCTAATCATTGACCAGATAACTTCCCAAGAAACTTCAACCCTCTGCTGTACTCTTCTCCAGCTCACCAAATTAACAGACTCCAAGAACAACTTGAATGGAAGGATGAGAACCTGGGGAAAGCAATGGAAATGTATGATTAACAGAAGAAGATCAACTCTGAACTACAATCCGAACTTGACAAAGTTAAGCTTCAGCTCAGTCATCTTCAGCAACAGCCACCTGAATCCACAGCCACAGCCTCCACCAAAGGCTCTGAGCAGCACAACCTAGTGGGGCCAGGTTTGGTTTCAAATTCAAATTTGAATCCTGCAAATATCACTTTACGTACATCATCTAAGCAGGTAATAGTACCATTACAGGCTTTTGACCAAACCAATGCAGAAAATAACACACTACACCCGGTAAAAAATTGCAACCACATTGACCCCTTTCCGGAAAAATCAGCAAATAGCCAACAATCCCCAACCACCTCATCACCTCCATAACCAAATACACATGGGACAAAAACTTGGACTGATGTAGTAAAGCAAAACCCAAACAAAATGGTCTTCAAATTTTTTAGCCCACCCAAAGATTCACCAGATATCATTGATCCTCCTCAAGAAGTTGTTGATGAAGGCTTGGATTTTTGGCGAACTTTACACCTTATTGGGAAATCTTTTCAAAAAAGACTACCCTTTAAAGTGGTTCAAGATGCAGCGGCAAAACTCTGGACATCCTATGGCCTCACTCACACAATTTTGGGTGATAATAACACATTCCTGTTCAGATTCTCTTCCTCATCCCAAGCTCAGAAAGTTCTATCTCTTGGTCCTTGGTCTATTGCTGGGAAACCTTTCTCCCTATTGAGATGGACCAACCAAATCCAATCCCAACCATCAACCATTGCATGTATCCCTACCTGGATTAAATTCTTCAACATCCCTCTCAATTATTGGACAACAAATGGTCTTAGCTACATTGCAAGCTCAGTGGGAGAACCACTGTATGCTGATCAAGCAACAGAAGACAGAACCAAACTCAAATTTGCAAGACTTTGTGTAAATGTTGACTTCCAAAAGCCTCTACGCAATGTAGTCCAACTCAAAATGGAAGGAAACTTGGTTAATATCAAAGTAGAATACCAATGGATCCCAAAGTTCTGCAGCAAATGCCATCAGCTCTCTCACACTGTCAATTCCTGCCCTCTTAACATCATACAACCACCACCCTTACAGATTAACAAACCATCCTCACAGCAAAACAATACTCCAATGATTGATCACAGGCCTGCAATACAGCCTACCACTGAATGGGTGACCATCAGAAGGAAGAAGAGCAAACCACCAGTCAACACTGCTCAAACATCCAAGCAACCATCCTCCTCTTCTACACCAGCACACAACACCAACCATTTCCAACCTCTAACTAATCCACAGCTTATTCATTGCACCCCACCTTCAACAAACAACATCATAGTTCATAGACCACTATAAGTAACCAACCAAATTCCCCTCCACTTACATCACCATTCTCTCCCCTTTGCAGTAAAAAGTTAAATTTCTCCCCAAACAACACCTCACCCAACTCAAGCACTCCTACAATTGTACCATCTTCCATGCCAGAAAATCACCACCCTTCCTCAGCTTCACCACAAAATTGCTCTCCTATTACATTCCCACAGTACAACAAACACAACAATAAACTAAAGCACAAATCACCAATTCCCTTACCAAACGATAACCATGAAGATGAACTTACATCAGAGGCCACCACACCAGCAAAGCAGATCCATGGTGTAAACAGAAGTGCAAATTCAAGAGATCAAACAGTTTCCACCCTCTCTGAACCAGCTAACTCTTATCAAACTATATCCCAAGGCACCACCTCAATGAGGTCTTTGAAGAAAGCTGCGAGAAGGAAGACAATTCCCTGCACTGATGTGATGTCTTATAGACATCTTGGAGGTTCTTTCTTTCCTTTTTTTAAATGATTACACTGCTTGCATGGAACATTAGGGGGTTAAACCAACCCCCTAAACAAGCAGAGATTAAGAAATTAATCTCTGAAAAAAGAATTGATATAGTCTCCATTGTGGAGACCAAAGTGTCTCCCACAAATGTTCCATCTATTTATAAGAAACTTGCCCCTTCTTGGAGTATGGTTCATAACTACTCCTTCTCTGATTTGGGTAGAATATGGGTGTTATGGAACCCAAACACCATCAATCTCTCTGTTATCACCACTACCTCACAGGCCATTCATTGCTCAATATCAGTATTAGGGCACAATATTAGCTTCTTCACATCCTTTGTGTATGCTGCTAACATTGCAGCTAATAGGCAGCTCCTATGGGAAGATCTAATCCACCATGCTAGCCTCTTTTCAAACTCTCCTTGGCTCCTCATGGGTGATTTTAATGTCATTCCAAACACTGGGGAGGCTCATGGGGGTTTTATAAGGTGAAGTAACGCGATGTCTGAGTTTAATGATTGTTTGCAAGAAACTGAGTTAGAAGACTTAAAAGTCAATGGGATTCTCTTTTCTTGGAGCAACAAAAGTATGGGGAATGCCTGCATTGCCAAGAAACTTGACAGAGCCTTGGTTAACCCAAAATGGACTGAAAAATTTCCACTATCTGAATGTTCTTTCCTTCCACCAAACATATCTGACCACAGCCCAATTATTGTTACACTGGATCTCAACACCCCTAGGAGACATGTCCCTTTCAGATTTTTCAATGCATGGACCACTCATCCAAAATTCCAATCTTCTGTGCATGAGGTCTGGTCTACTTTTATCAAGGGTACAACTATGTTTCAGGTGGTCCAAAAGTTGAAGTTGTTAAAGCAAGTGCTAAGAATAAACTGCAGGAAAGAATTTTCAGAGGTTGATTCGAGGCTGCAAGCTATAAAGCTGGAATTGGATTCCTGTCAAATTGACCTGGACAACAACCCCAGTGATCACAGCCTCAGATTGATGGAGAAGTCCCTTACTACTGAGTTCTGGAGATTAGCAAACATACAAGAAGACATCCTAAGACAAAAGTCAAGAATGAGCTGGCTTAAACTTGGAGATAGCAATTCAAGTTTTTTCCACAAATCAGTATGCTCCAGATCCAATAGAAATAAAGTCATCTCCCTCTCAACTGACTCAGGTCACATCTTATATGATAAGGAAGACATCAAGCTTCAGGTGGTAGCACACTTCAAAAATCTACTTGGATCCACACTTCCTTGCACCCACCATATTAATGATCTCTCACCCTTCATCACAGCTCACCTATCCACTCACTTGCACCACTACTTGGATGAACCCCCAACACACTTGGAGATACAGAACTGTACGCTGCAGCTCAACACATGCAAAGCACCAGGCCCTGATGGCTATAATGCTCTCTTCTTCCACAAAGCTTGGAATATTGTGGGTAGATCAGTCACCCTTGCCATTGCAGAGTTCTTTAGAAATGGGAAGCTACTGGCTGAGGCTAATCAAACTTATATCTGCCTAGTCCCTAAATGCCAAAACCCCTCTTCTCTACATGATTACAGACCTATATCCTGTGTCAACACAATTTACAAGTGCATTGCTAAATTGCTAGCAATGAAGCTGTAACAAACCTTACCAAAAATTATTGACCCATCCCAATCAGCTTTCATTCTTGGCAGGAAAATCACAGATCCAATTCTACTTACCCATGAACTTTTTAGAGGATACCACAAGCACTCCAAGCCAGCAAGATGTGCCATAAAGATTGATCTCAAAAAAACTTTTGACTTTATTAAATGGGATTTCATTTTCAACTGCCTTAACCTCCATCATTATCCCCAAAAATTCACCTCACTCATCCATGCTTGTGTGACATCCCCCTCCTTTACTATTGCCCTCAATGGAGAATTCCAAGGTTACTTCAAAGGAAAGAGAGGGCTAAGGCAAGGGGACCCCCTCTCACCTTTCCTCTTTGTAATTGCAATCGATGTTCTCTCCTTAATCATCAAAAACTATGTGGACAAAGTTCACTCCTTTAGGTATCACTGGAGATGCAAGGATCCAAAGATCACACACCTCTAATATGCTGATGATCTTTTCTTGTTTTACCATGGGGACATTACATCTGTGTTTGTACTACAATGTGCCCTTGACCACTTTTGTTCCATGTCTGGTCTTGAAGTAAACCTCTCCAAAAGTTCAGTCTCTCTCTGGAGTAGAAGTACACACTGAACAAGCTATTCTCTCACTTCTTGGCATTGGAGCAGCAAATTTACCAGTCAAATACCTTGGAGTTCCCCTCATCACAACCTCCTTGAAGGCCTCACATTACAGCCAGCTAATCAGCAAAATCACTCATAGGATTTCACATTGGACATCAAGATCCCTTTCCTATGCTGGCAAACTACAATTGATCAAGGCTGTGTTGGTATCTACTCAAATTTATTGGAGCAGCATTTTTGTTCTTCCCAAAGGAGTCATTGATGAACTCAATAGAATTTTCAGATGCTTTCTATGGTTTGGGGTTAAGATGAAGTCAACTTGTTCTAAAGTTGCATGGCAAAAGGTGTGTAGACCTAAGGCTACAGGGGGTTTGGGCATCCCAAATTTGGAGCAATCAAACAAAGCAGGCATTATGAGGCTACTTTGGGACCTGCAATGTGGAAGCTCAGATAGAATCTGGATCAAATGGTGTAATTCACACCTTCTAAAATCCAGAAACATTTGGTCTCTAAAAATTCCTTACTTATGCACATGGAGTTGGAGGAAAATTTTGCAGTTAAGACATCCAACTAGATTATTAATAAAACATAAAGTTGGTAATGGAGCAGATACCTTATTTTGGTGGGATAATTGGGCTCTAGGAGGTCCTCTCTGCGCTAGATTCCCAACAAATGTTCTTACATATCATAGTCTTAATGATTCCATCACTCTTGACAACTTCATTGAAGGATCCTCTTGGTTATTCCCACAGTCACTCATAGCTATCATCCTTGAGTTAATGCAATTACAGCTTCCATGTCCAACAATTGCTGATAAGAAGGTATGGATTGCATCTTCTACTGCGCAATACAACTTCAGTCACACTGCTGCTCACTTGGCTGAGAATTTTGAAATGGTGCCTTGGTCTAATCTGGTGTGGAAATCCCCAATTATCCCTAGAATGAAATTTAATTTGTGGCTGGCAGTCCAATCTAGACTTCCAAATTTTGACAGCAAATCGATGGCTAAGCACCATAATCTCTGTGTCCTTTGTTCTTCATCAATGGAATCACATGACCACATCTTCTTCAATTGCCCCTTCATTTCACCAATTTGGAGATACATAAAGGATAAATGTCACTTCTCAACAGTGCTCACAAATTGGAGTAACCTAGTTCAGCTTGCAAGCCACATGTGGAAGATCAATACTTCCAGAAATCTGGTTAGGAAGATATGTCTTTCTTCAACTATTTACCACACATGGGAAGAGCGAAACAGTAGAATCTTCAGGAAAGATAAGTGTTCGCAGAGAGTGGTACTGGCCAAGATCATCTCTACTATCACTTCAATCCTCAAACTTGGCTTCCTAAAGGACTGCGCTGCATCAAGGATCATTCTCTATGAATGGAATCTTGCCCCGTCTTGTTGCAGACCTCCTCTATGAATGGAATCTTGCCCCGTCTTGTTGCAGACCTCCTCCTCGCCCTCCAGACTAGCTCATTCTAGCCGTATGCCGGCTACAATTTCTCACCGGAGATGGTTTAGATAACCCTTTTCAATTAACAGTTAATTTTGATAGTTATTGAATGTTTAGGTTATTTCAGGTTGGGCCTTTGCCCCTGCTGCCCAATGGGGCTTGTTTGTAATTAATCGACTATGGGCTTCGGCCAAACTTTGTAATCTTTTCAACCATCTAATGTCAGTTGCTTTATTTTTCAAAAAAAAACCTAAAATTATTCAATGAGAATATACCACTACAAAGAAGCTCTTTCAGAAATACACAGTATACACACTTATTGCAAAATTACATATACACACGCAGAGTCACATACCTACCGAGAAATTAATAAAAAAATGCACGCATGAAACACGCATTGGTTGAGCTTGGGATTGGGACTTCCTACTCCACCAGCTTTGAAATCGATTCGTTTTCCATGCGTAACAGTAGACAATAACATCACACACTCCAGCAGCCATGGCTTCCTCCCATTTCCTCTGCAGTCAACACCTCTACACTCCCTCCAATGGCAGAAACCAACACAAATTTTCAAGAAAAAGCAGTCTATGTTCTTCATATAAGCCACATGGTGCATGTTCTTTTGGTAAGAAAACTCAATTTCGAAGTACCCAATTCGTCAAAGCCATGGCTTCTGATCCACAAACTGGCAGAAAACAATTAGAGGTACTTTTATTCCTTCTGTTATTTCTGATGGTGAATAGAAAATTTTGGGTGTTTTTTAAATTTTAATTTTTATCTGTTTGGAGCTATTAGATAGTGTATGACCTAGATGAAAGACTGAATAAGTTAGCTGATGAAGTGGATAAGAATGCTGGACTTTCAAGACTCACTCTGTTTTCACCTTGCAAGGTAATCTAATCAGTCTTTTGCTTTTTTGGGTCTTGAAATTGATGAACTTTTTTTTTGGGTTTTTCTAGTATCTGTTCATTTTGGTATTCTATGTGGTGCAGATTAATGTTTTTTTGAGAATAACCAGCAAGAGGGAAGATGGGTTTCATGATTTGGCATCTCTCTTTCATGTAAGTTCCACTGGTAGTTAGTTGCTCTAAATTTTTATTTTGAACTATAATTATCAAATTTAAAGAAGTAGATGCTAGAACAATATTTGCTGAAGATTCTAAATATGATAGAGAATTTTTTTGCATTAATTTCTTATATTATTCAACCCAGACTGTCATGACATACTTTGCACTTCCAGGTAATAAGTTTAGGAGATAAAATTAAATTCTCTTTGGCCCCATCAAAATCTAAGGATCGATTGTCAACCAATGTGCCTGGAGTTCCACTCGATGACCGAAATTTGGTAAAGGCACAAGCTCCTTTGTTCCTTTATTGGTCTTGTATGTTTTATTTTCTTTACCTTGTGAGGCTCATGGTTTTGCAACCTCTCTTCTGCAGATAATCAAAGCCCTTAACCTTTTCAGGAAAAAGACTGGAAGTGACAACTACTTTTGGGTAAAACCAAAGAACAGTTTATATGAATTTATGCATTTGGTAATGTATTTGTGATGAACATTGTATATTGAACCCAACTGTTTATTCTCTTCTTAAATCTGTGGCAGATTCATCTTGATAAAAAGGTACCTACTGGGGCTGGGCTTGGTGGTGGAAGCAGTAATGCTGCAACTGCTTTATGGGCGGCAAATCAATTCAGTGGCTGTCTTGCCACTGAAAAGGAACTCCAAGAATGGTCAAGTGAGATTGGTTCAGATGTTCCCTTCTTCTTCTCCCATGGAGCAGCCTATTGTACCGGTAGAGGTGAGGTATGTCCTGTCAAATACAAAATTCACCCAATCTTGTCAGTTCTTGGCTTTCCATGTTATCGTTATTTCCCATGCCAGCAGCATACATAGGTGTAAAAATAAAAGACACAATCCTCATAGATTGAATTGCTTCTGACAAGCTCGGCAAATCAGTACCATTGATTAACCACAACAATTTGTCTTGGTTCATTAAAGCTAGGTCAAAGAAGGTTAAGATGGGTATTACCAAAGTGAGTTACGGAAATAATTGGTGCAAATCAAGTTGCTTAGGTTTAGCCTCTCAAGGTGATTAGTGATGACAGAGTTAATGGTGATTGTTGGGTATCACAGTAAGAGCGTGATCATTGGTTACATCATAATGAATGCTATGGTGCAAATCAAGTTCTTTCAAATAGTACCAACCATATTGTTTCTTACTAGTTAGCCCTCTCTAACAATAATGTAACTTGATACTTGTTCATTATTCACTGGTCTTCATTGCAGCGATGAGAGCATGATAGTCAACCTCATTATTTTTATAGATGTTGGTGTTACAACTGAGCTCTCGTGTTGCCAGGAAAAAAAAAAAACTGAGCTCCCATGATTGCATTCATATCTGCACGCACACACACACACACATATGTATATTAGCGTCATTAGATTTTCAAATCCTGGAGTACAAAGTATTTTTTGGTGGTCTGCATTTGTAAATATCTTCAAATATTAAAAATCCTAATACGTCTGTGATGACAAAAGTGGTCCTACTGGTTTATCGTGTATATTGAAAAGGCAAATTAATGTCAGATTAATTTATTAAAATAAAAACTAATTAAGGTATTTTTCTTCTTTATTGAGCTTGGCAATCACTGTTTGCCCGTCGAGGATATAAACATTGTATTTGTCTGGTTCTATATGTGATTTGTAAATGGGTGGTACAGCAGTGTCCACTATCTTGCCAATTTGGCTATTTTATCACTTTAAGTATTTTGAAAAGAACTAGATTTATACAATTATATGCAACGTGTGTGGAACAAGTGATGTGATTCTCCAAAGTTTGTTTGCTAGGGAACTGGCAAGTTCAATTTATATTGCATTGTGTAGTTAACACCAAGGGAATTGATGGGGTACCAATCATTATCATTGTTGGATCATACAACCAATGTCTTTGTCAATGTTTGAAAAGACTAATACAAGAGCAACATAATAGCATAGCTCTAGATAATTCAATGAACAAATATTATGAGCGTATTCGTTTTGGTGAATCATGCTTAAGTGGCTGTACTGGCTAGATTGGGAACCCTGATGCAGAAAGTTTAGCCAGATGATGCAGCTATCTTTCGTTGCATGTGGGTGATACCGTGTCTATACCATGTCATATTAGGAGCTTATTGGTTATCTGTCTGTTGTTTCCTAATTTGTGTAAGTGAATCAATGCTAACTGTTTCTTATATATGCTATCTTGATTTGTTAAATGAATTTTACGGCTAAGAATGATCTGAGTGGAATTTAAATTTGGTTTGTCCAGGTTGTTCAAGATATCCCCGCGCCAATACCTTTCGACATTCCAATGGTCCTCATAAAGCCTCAACAAGCATGCTCCACAGCAGAAGTTTACAAGGTGACATAAGTATGAAGTTCGCGAACAAACCAAAGATATTAGTCTTAATTTTCTTGCTAAACCATCTTTCTGATGACATTTTTTAATTACTTCAGTGTCTTCGGCTCGATCAAACTAGTAAGGCTGATCCCTTAACCTTGCTGGAGAAGATCACAAGAAATGGAATATCTCAAGATGTTTGTATCAATGATCTGGGTATGAAATCAGGAACAATACTTAACATGATCTCTATACATTTATTTGATTTTTATTTAATTTCATTCAGATTAGATATGATGAATGGGAGGTTTGTCAGGTAGCCTTCCCAGCACTGACCCTATTTCCTGTGTTTGATGTTTTATAACAGGCTTAGTTCAGGTCAGGCTGGTAACCTTACATTGGTTCAGGGCAAAATTAATTTTGTTCTGTCCTCTGAAGTATTTGATCATTATCGTTCATATATATATATATATATATATATATTTCATTTGCAGCATTATGCATCGAAACAACCCTTCTGACCATGGCCACATTATTGTGATGCATTTCAAACCCGATTGAAATTAGAGTAGAGTCAGAATTTTATATTTGTATTTTTCCTAAGTTGGGCTGGTTAAGTTCTACTAGTTGACACTTATAGTTGGTCTAGAAACTTGACAGTGCCATTTGTAGTCCATACTACTGTCATTTCACATGCTGTTCTGTGGTCTTGCAGAACCTCCTGCATTTGAAGTGCTTCCATCCCTGAAAAGATTAAAACAGCGTGTGCACGCTGCAAGCCGTGGACAGTATGATGCTGTTTTCATGTCTGGAAGGTACAAACTTAGTGTATTTCAAGAACGCTTAAATATCTCTAATTTCCAGTATTTATTTAGTACAAAATAAAACTTTAGGTTGTTTTATGTTATACTGCCCACTTCAAAGAAATTAGTTTTGTTGCAGTTTGATGATTGAAAGAGTTGAGCTGATGACATCATCAACTTCCCTTGTATTATTATTTTATGATTTCTATATGAATGGTAAACCCCATGAAGCTAAAAGCGCCATGCCCATGGATTCCCAAGCGACTCAGTTCAACCATTGCAAAATTGAAGCCTAGGGTAGAGGTAGCGAAACAAACCATAATCCTGGAGATCTCAAGATAGTGACAATTTGATGAAAGAAAGGAGAGAGGGTCTAAAGATTAAACATATAAACCATCTTTCCTATGGCTTGATTCTAGAAAGAGACTCTGTAGAGGGTAAGAAGGTCTTCCTCAGTCTCAAATAATTGGGAGGAGGAAGTGTATTGAGTTGGCTTATAATAGAGATCTACAACTATAGCATGGACTTGAGAAATATACCCCCTTTTTCACATATATAAGATGAGTAATGCAAGTTTGGTGAGCTTTGAGGACATTGTTTGAGTTTCTTTTTCTTTCTCTCCTCATCCTTCCCCTACACAAGTGTATCCGTGCGCATTATTTTCACATAGCATTCATAGTGCATGTACTTATGTTTTTAGCATTCTGAATTTTAGGAAGATGGAATGAATGGCTAAAGCTCTCTCTCTCTCTCTCATGCCAGCGATTTTCATGTGCTTGCTGCCTATGTCAAAAATAAAATGTGTAGAATGTAAGATAGCAAAGGGTGCTACTTCTACCATTAGTCACTCAATTCGCCCAATTTAATGGCTGCTCTATAGCTCCGCGCGAATTGCTACTATGAGCACAGATCTGTCATTAATTCGAGCAGTCAATAATCAATTGTTGAGTCTGCAGGCTTCACAAATTGGGCTAATCACAGGTGCCTGCTGTTCATTTCATGCTATTATTGGACACCTGATTGAATTGGGCTCAAAGTCCATAATGTCTAGTGTATCTTTTGTACGTGTAGGTGTAACTGCCTTACATGTTTAACCGAGGCACGAGAATTGAACCCGTGACCACTTAAGAGAGCAAGCCAAATGTTAACCACCATGTCATATTGTCTTTTTGACAAGTATTTCACAAATGTATTTTTTTTATATGATATTTTTGCAATTCTTGTTACATATATAAGCCTTCTAATGTTTTTTTGGGATACAATCCACTAATGATTGAATATAATAACATGAAATTCTATATTAATTTACATAGTTACATCATGTGGGATAAATGATTTAAAAGTTTTTGGACTTTGACGCTCTAAAGCTCTCGCTCTCACTCCCGCACTGATTGACTTAGCTGCTCTATTAGCCGTTCTTTTCTTGTATATTCTGAATTTGTAAACTTTCCTTAAAGCACTAAGGTAAGTTTGTGCCATAACCAAGATCTGGTCGCTTAGTTGTTACTTTTTGAATTACCAAGTGACATATAAGAGAAATTGGAAACAAAATAAAGGCGGCCACTGACACATACATATATATTTCTTCATGTCCATAGTTCGCATACCGTAGGAGATAGTAATTGTAAATCGTTCATTAACTGAATAGAAATTTCTTGCGGTTTTCTGAATCTTATCATACCACATTTTAGCTGTTCTATTTTTAGATATGTAACCATGTTTTCACTTCTTAAACTTGTTTGATGCAGTGGAAGCACTATAGTTGGGATTGGTTCTCCAGATCCCCCACAATTTGTCTATGATGATGATGAATATAAGGATGTGTTTTTGTCAGGTAAGCCACAAGTAACTTTTCCATTTTATTCCAACCAATTTTCATCTGGTAGACAACTACATCTTTTTTTTTTTTTTTTTTTAAATGCCAACTAGTTTTGACTTGCCTCAGCAATACATTTAAAAACAACTAAAGACAATCTCAGTATCCATCCACCAATAATGAAGATTCATATTAAACTTGGTTAATCAAATCTGTTAAGATTATAATCACTCTATAAGATCACTTGTGAGATATGCCCTGGGCAGTTAAGTGGGATTTTCACCATGTTTCTTAGTGATGGACTTTTCGTGCAACTTCCTCCTATCAGAGTCGCATATATTTCTTATTTGCCTAATCCTTTTATATTTCACATGAAAATAATTTTGTTTTGCACTTGCATTTAGAGGATCATTTCTTTGATATGATATATGTACGCATTTGGTTTAAGTTTTTTTCAGAAATGATCATCTTTTGTGCTTTTGTCCCACTCTTGCACCATGCCTCGTCACTTAGCTGGGTTTAGTACATCTACATATAAACTCTCAAACTTATTGTTGCCCAAAACATGATTATATGCAGAGGGAGTTTCATTTCTTTGATATATGTATGCATTCGACTCATGTAATGGAACACTAGCGGTCTATTGTTCCATTACATAATCCTTGACTGTAAAACTTATACTTGAACTAAACATTTATGAAAAAAAAAATAAAATACTTGAACTAAACATTTTCTGTTTTATAACTCTTAACACTTGTAAAGGGAAAAGCTTTATGCCCTCAAAGTGCATAACTATAAAACATATTTTAGAAGTAGGCCATTACGGTCACTACTTTTGTTCTTTTACCTACATTTTTGAAATATGTAAATTTTTGAATTGTGCGATTTATATGCATTTTTTTTTTAGCCCTGACATATGTTGATTTTTTTCTTTTTTCTTTTTCCTTTTTCTTGTTACACTTGTTTGTACTTTCTGTATATGATATTTATAGACCAACAGGCCAGTGGCCTAGCGGTACCAGGCTCCTACTTTCCAAAGAGAGGTCAGGGGTTCGAGCCTCAGTGGAGGCATGTGTGTGTGAGTGCCAATTAAGAAAAAAAAAAATATATATATATAGACTAAGAACTATTGTGTGTAAAAAAGTAAGTTATTAAAACTTACCAGAACATGCATCTAGTTTAATGAGCTTGGGTTTATGTAACAAGATGTGCAAGGAAAAGTTATGTTCTCCAAGAGCAGTAGCAAGTGTATATTATTTTTCCCCAAAAAAGTCATCTATAACACATCTTGCTGATACCAATACATGTCACTCGAAGTTGCAAAACTGTGAAAAGTTGACGGGTATCATTTATGTCAGAGATTTTGGTGGGTTTTCCTCTTGTTTCATGTCTTTGGATCTGAACCAATGAAACTGTTGTGCACTGGCCTTTATGTGTTTTCAGTCAATACTTTAAAGAAGTGCTTTTTACTGGGAAAAAAATTGGAGTGTCATTGACAACACTGCAGCCTATTTGGTTCTCTATGTATCTGGGACTTGGACGCGTATAATAAATGAGAATTAAATTGAAGCTGGATATGGAAAATGGATTTAAATTCAAACAATTATCCCGGATCCATCTTTGATTTTAAATGTCTCTTCTAAGTTGGTTTCGATTTCAATCTTCATAGTTTATGACCCGAACAAGCTTTACTGCTTTAAGAATGTTGATTGAGCCAGACTTTTGAGTTTTCTAGTTGATTTTATTGTGTATCCTTGGAGTATAGTGTATCCTAAATACTTGTTTATGGAGTTGATAAGTTTCCTAGTATTAAGATTCGACTCATGGGTAAGTCTAAATCTGGTTTTTAAGTGGAAAACTTGGATCTGGACCTGGAATGTTATCCATCAACTGTTCAATCCATTTCGCATCGCATTGTCATGTGTGCTGAATTGTCACCCTAGAGGACAAAAGACATTCTGGACCAACTTGTAATTCTTTTTGATTTACAGTCACAGAAATCATCTTATAAATGACACACAGTTTTTATGTATTAGTAACTTTGCTCGATGACTTGATCTGACCCAAACCTACATTGTTAATGCAGAAGCCAGCTTTATCACTCGTGGCGATAACCAGTGGTACAGCGAACCTGTTTCAACAAGTACTTGTAGCTCTCCCGCTGATCCTTCCATGTCTTTTGAGTAGAGTCTATATCTGGTTTTTTCACAAAAAGGAAATGGGAATAGAGTTGTTTGTATGATACTTCCATTCATGTAATATAGTTTCATTTATCAACAACGTCAACAGTAAAATTGTCCGATTTTCGTCCTGACTGTAAAAAACTGAATAAGACTAATCTGTTCAAAGAATAGGGTCAGCTGATTTTTTTTAATTTTATTTTATATTTTTTCTTAATCAGAAACCATAAGAACCCAGGCCTTGAAAGATGAAAACACAAAGGGTGACAAGTTCAAGGTGCCTTCTTTTTTTTTTTTTAAGAAAGAGTGCTTCCAGATCATGTGTTTGACCCCAATGAGGTAGGCTAAGTATTTGAGCTGGTCCTGAATGTTGGGTTAGTAGTACCAGTTGGTAGCTCTTGAGACTGATTCATATGCTATGAAGTATAGGGAGGGAAAACCCACCCCTGTTCTTTGGGGTATACAAGCCTCTATTAGAATGGGTTTGGAAGGTTTTTTTTTTTTCTCCTTGCCAAACTAAGGGGAGGGGAGACTCGAACACGGGCACACTCGCTTAGGAAGCTGGACGCTTTACAAAGTAGGTCATTGGATAATGCCCTGTTTGGAAGGTTTTATACGGGCAAAAATCAGCTCTAGTTGCATAGTGCAACCATTTTTTCCATTTTTGTGAATGAACAATACTTACCATGGTGGGTAAAAAATTGTATTTGCTTTATACAGAATTTTCGTGTGTGTGTGTGTGTATATATATATATATGTATACACTGTTCAAATATACTCTTCTTCCCTCCCTCCCTCATTTCAACAACCCATTTGAAATAAAATTGAAATCCCGCCACCCAGCTAGCCTTTTTCTCTCTCAAAATATCAATTAACCCAGTGTAGAATTTGATTTATTTTTAAATAGATTTTGATTTCTTTCCAAATAGAAGCATGAAGCAGGCTTTATTCCCTCCCAAAATTGGATTCTACGATTTGTTTCAAAATAGAATAAGCGATTCTATTTCCAAATTGAAGGTCGGATCAGACTTTTCCAAATCAAAGCAAAATGTACGATTTCTTTGTTTCTGCCATTCATTTCTTATGGAAATAAAAGGATTTCCTTGAAAATAAAATCTGAAAATTATAGGTGTATCCCATATTATCCTCATTTGATTCGACATTGGTTTTGCATCAAAACATTTTCCCAATATTTTCGTAACATATATCCAACATATTTGTAAAGTGGTGCATCACAACATTTTCCTCAGGTACATCCCAACATTTTCGTACAAACATCCCAACTTATTTATTTGTAAGGTGAATCTCAACATTTTCCTAAGTTGAATTCTAACATTTTCCTAAGGTGCATCCCAACTTTTCCAATCTAGCCTCAGACATTCTTCCATTCTTCTTCATTTTCCCTTCCCTTCTTCTTCATCTTCGTTTATTCGAAATTCAAACCCTAACCCTCAGACCTTTCTTCTTCCCTTCTTCTTTGCCTCGGACATTCCTTCTTCTTCTTCGCCTCAGACCTTCGATCTTCACTTCTTCTTCTTCGCCTCAGATCGCCGTTGGTACTATTTCCTTCTTCCCTTTTAGAGAGAGAAAGGAAGACAGTCGTAGCTTTTAGAGAGAGAGGAAGACAAACTGTCGTAATGTATTTTAGAAATAATATTTAAAGTTTATATATATATATATATATATATATGAAATACAATATTTAAAGCTTTAAAGAGGGGTGGTAAAAAATTAGTTACCCAATTTTTTTAATTGATGTGGCACATTCTCAGCCACTTATTCCAATTGGAGGAAATGGTTGCACTATGCAATTGGAGGTGATTCGGATTCGTTTTATACAGGAGTTTTCGCAATTTTTGTGATAATATTTTCAGGCTGAATTGTTATGTATGATTATATATATGTACATAATTTCTTAAAGGGTTAAGTGCAAAAAAAAACCCCTGATATATAAGATTTGTGCAGACTAGTCCCTTCGTTTTGAAAATGTGTATATTAGTCCATAAAATTCAAAAAAGGTGCAAATAAGCCCATCTGACCACTTTTTTATTTTTTTTATTTTTATAAAAAGTAAAAATGAAAACTCTATTTTACTCTTTTGATTCCCATTTTGACCCTCACCCATATGTGCATATAAACCCGAAACCCATTTCCTCCACTCAGCTTTGTTCCATTTAGGCATACCCATATCTAATGGGTTAACCTATTTTTATTTGGTATTCCTCCACTCAGCTTCTGTGATACCCCTCCCCCGGATTTCCGAATGCGGGTTAGCCAGGCCCACACCCGAATACCCAAAGATATCAAAACAATTCGATAATAAACGAACACAGAGTACAAATATGATAAATTAAAAAAAAATTAAAAAATAAAATGTTGAAAGGAAACTAAAATAATAATCTAATAAATAATTCTCGGAATAAATTTCCATTGATTAATAAATCCTTCTGATACAACTAATTCTCCAAAAATATACAACTCGGGAATCTATACAATGTGGACCCCTAGAAATCCAAACTAAATAAGTAACTGAAATAATGTCTACATCTGAAAATAGAAACATAAACAAATCTTCTAAATGGAAGCGGAAGAATGAAGTAGACTGATCCCTGCCCAACATGAACAACCTCTACTCCTGACGAACACCTGAAAAATAATGATGGGTTAGAGCCACAAACAAGTTCTACTCTACTATAGTTCAAAGAGAGATCCGATACACGTATACATCCTAATCAACTCAACAATAACTATATAATCCGTACATAGATATATCCACACTAAGGGACTCTCACTGGACTACAAAGGGGTCTCAACCTGAATAGAAGGTAACATGCAAAACGCACCTAAGTGGGCATGAGTATCTAAGCCTAATAGGGTATACCTCTACCATCATAGCCAGCTACGCATCCTACTGCATATACGCTCCCTAACCGTCGACACTTAGACTTAAGCTCATGCCACGGTACCATAAATATATATTTAAAATCCTATCCTATTCATCCATAAGAAATCTAGTTAGTTGTTCAGCTTGTTCAACTGCATAGACTAAACATCCAGAGGAAATCCAGTTAGTCATTCAGCTTGTTCAACTGCACAGACTAAACATCCAGAGGAAATCCAGTTAGTCGTTCAGCTTGTTCAACTGTACAGACTAAATATAAGTAGGATTCTATATTTATAGTCCATTCGCTTATTCCGTATAGGTAGGATATAGTATTTTGAAACTAATCCATCCCTAATATGCCACCGTCCCATATCGGTGCATACAATCCATCCATCCATAATAAATGATGCACAAATAAATTAGTACACCAATTAATCCATACCTAGCATGATAGAAATCATAAACATAACCATTTGCATTTATTTAAGCAAATACAACAATTTAAATAGCATGTAGTTAACTTACATTCTACGTAATTAACCTACATTTCAGATAAATAATATAAACTCCTAATCATGAATAAAGTCCTTTAAACATTTAATTCAATTGTTAAAACAATTAAATAACTAACTATCCATTAAATAATTTATAAAAATTATTTATAAATCCGTATTGTCCAAAGCATATGAAGTATATTATACATTCTAGAACCTTTCAAAGTCTATTTAACCCATTTAAATTAATTAAAATAGGTTTAAAAATAATTCTGGGCAATTAAAACCAATATTCAGGTCGCGGTCCAACTGAGCAGGCTGAGTTGGTGTTGAAGTCGTCTTCTTCGTTTGTTCAGCCTCTGTAAACCTTAAAACTCCGTAGTTAAAGCCTCTAAGCTTCAACCTAAGTCCCATACGTCCATACTAAATTATTTTAGATGTTTTAACATGCAAAGATTAAACTTAAACATCAATTATGCATCAAAAATTCTAGAATCATTCAAAACAAGAATATGAAACTAAAAACATACAATCCTTTGTTTTAGTTCAATTAAGTATGCATAATACTTCGGTTTAATTGTTAAAGTCTCCTGGAATATCCTAGGCATGTATAGAAACACAGATTAAAGGGATAGAGTAAGAGAGAACTTGCCTTAGAATTTCAGATTGAAAATCCCAAATCTCCTTCTCTAAGTTCTTCCTTTGATTTCGGCGACCTTGGTTGCCGTCGAACCTTTTGCTGCTCGGTCCTAACCCCACGAACAGTCTCTCCTTCTTCCTCCTAGGGTTTGGCCTTGAACCCTTAGCCAAAGCCTCCTTCTTTTCCCTCATGTTTTCCTCTCTGTATCTCTCTACCTCTAAGTATAAAATATATCACGTATATGAAAACCTTGTCTCCCACAGACCTATACTATTATATATATAGTAATCTAATATAACCCTAATCCAAATCAAACCCTAAGTCTGCCTTAAGGAAAAATATCAGGAAAAAGGAATATATATATATATATAAGTCTGTTATAAAACTCACGTGAATAAGCATATATACATATATATATACTATATAACCTTCAAACTATATATATAATATATATCTGACTATAGTTAAATTACTATTAACTATTTATAATACTAATGAATATAAGATCCTTATATACATATATACCCATATATATATGTACATCCATCCATGGGTAAACATTCGTACCCAACCAACTCATATCCAAGTAGTCTATGTGACCTATTGGGTTGGTCCATTACTACCATTTATATCCAACTCCTTTAAAATAAAATATAACATAAAACAATTAAATGATTTAATCCAAATAAATAACTACAATTAAACTACACATCAATTTAGTAAGTAAAACACCCAATTAATTAACTATACAAGCACCTAATTAATTCACATAAATCACATAAGCAATTAAGACAATAAGTATATAATCATGTAGCCACATAAACACCTAGCCACGTAAGCACATAATCACATAATTAAATAAAATGTAATAAAATAAATAATTAAATTTCCTTTTTATCCTTTTGAAAACTAGGGGTATTACAGCTTCATCCCATTTGGGAACCGTAAAATCTCTATGTCAACTACCATTCAAACAAAATAAAAACCTAGTTCCAATACAAAAAATCGAGAATCCAATCCGATAATTTTGTGTAAGATAGATAAAGTCAAACCTTAATTCTCTACTCCAATACAAACTTCATGAAAGAAAGAAAGAAAGAAAAAAAAAAAAAAATCAAATTCGGCATCAAGAAAAACCCAGGGATGAATCACAGTTAAAGATCAGAGAAAAAAAAAAGGTCGGATCTAAGTGTCATC